TTGGTCGCGCGTTCAGTCCGGCATTCACAATTCTCCGACCTGCGGTGAAGTTTTTCCCCAAAATGGCCGACAGCCAAAAGCAAGCCAAATGTCGCACTCATTCGACAACAAGTCGGGAAGCTGAAACGAGAGTCGCAAACAATTTCAGCCCCGCATGCAACTAATGCCAACCGGCCTGCAATCTGAAAGACTGCCGTACGTATCCTCTTGCTCGCAAGGAATCAAGCGCGAACGTAGTTCACCAAATGGCCGACAACGGCCTCAAGCAATTACGAATGTGCAACAAGTTTCGGACAATGATCAAAGCTTGTGCTTCGGACCACGCTTAGTGAGCATATCCGCAGGATTATCCTTCGTGTGGCAGCTTTAACAATGTTCTAAGCATCGGCCTCGTTCAAGAGTCCCGAACGAATGTGATACACGAACGTCAATATGCTTCGTTCTTCGGCATGAAAAACCTGATTCTTGCGCCAAATAGATAAGGCACTTGCTATCACAATGAATAGTGAACGGACCTCTGCGATATAACAAGTTCGGCTCAAAAGTCGCTGCGAAGCCAAATAGCCTGCCTTCACAGCCTTCCGTACTGCATTCGTTGCCTTCCGTGCGTAGACAGCACCGTCGGACTGTAGGTGCTTCTCACAACACACCGTGCACGGGTCAAGTAAACACCATACGGACCCCGTAGTAGAACGGCGCGCTTATCCAAATGCCGCCGGCATATATCCGAATCAACTATAACCAATGCATACCTGCCCACCTTTAGTGTCGCGCGCTATGAACCAAACTCAACAGTTGAGCGTAACGCTTCGAATGTACCTCAAAATCCATTTCACGGTGTTGGGTGCGGTCCCAATGACTCACTCCCTGGATGCGTGCAATGTATCTCGATACCGATGCTCACCGCCTGTGACAAATCTTGGTCTCGTATCATATCCAATTGCGGTACATCAAGCTCGCGGAACCGCGCTCGCATATGGAGTCTTCGACATCAAGCTCACGATCTCAACTGACTTCGGTGAAAGACCGCTGAAAGGCTTAATGGGCTTCCCAAAGGTACACAGCAACTGGTTGCGTATCCAATGTAACATGGGAATGCGCTGTAGAACTTTCTTCAAATAAGCGCACCCTGTGTCAAACAAATGTCCTGCCCTTGGCTTCTTGGTCCTCTGGCCGATCTCCATCGCCTAGAATGCGCTTTCGCCTCACGCCAAGTCTTTCATCTCAAAGCTCATTTGATAGTTGAAGTCTTTCCACTCATCTAATAGCGCGACGCTGGAAATAGAGGCAACCAGCAAGCGTTGGTTCGTCGGTTTGTGCCGAGCTATGCTAAGGGACCTATAAGCAATTTTATATGCCTACACCTACGACAAAAACGAAGCCCTAGATCTGGAGGAAGATGATCCCTCTCGCTGAATCCACCAAAAATCCGCTGAAAACCCCTCCAAAGCTCCTCCAAATCACCAAAGAGTGAGAAACTAGGGTTTTAGGGGAGAGAGGGGGCTAGGGTTCTGATTTCAGATCAAAAGAGCTCTCTCCCGGGTTCATTAGATTATATACTAACCCCTAGACCCGACCCGAAACCCGCTAAGACCCGAAACCCAGAAAACTATTTGTCTGCTGGGCGGTCGACCGCCGCGCCCAGTGCGGTTGACCGCACAGCAGGAAAGAAATTTCCTGAGTGCGAGACCGATCAGCGGTCGACCGGCATGACTCCTGCGGTCGACCGCTCAGAACAAGAAATCGCCAACAGAGATGATTATGAACCTGATGCTCACACCAATCAAAACCTCTCCCATATGCACACTAATATAGTTCTCAAAACACTGATATACACCTTCTATATATGTATGCATAAATACATATGTGATTAATATTATTTTCTCGCTAGTAATTCAATATACTCATTTAAAATTTATGGGGTTTTACATTCTTCCCCCCTTAAAAGAATTTCGTCCTCGAAATTTGGAAATCATATTCATCTTGAAATACTAAATTCTAGATGTGTGCTTATGGATATTTATACTTAACCGTCCAAAATGGTAATATTCTCGCTCAATCCCTAATCTAGTGGAACTAGTACATCGGGTGAAAAATCCAAACAAGGAACCCCCCATATATATACCATATGTTCCAAAAGATTATGAATTGGGCGAAGATATTCTCATTCTAGTGTTAAATATATCTAACCAAATATATCAACATAATATAAGGCACTTGTCGTAAAAAATTATTTACCTGATCAAACAAATGTGGGTAGTCGCGTCGCATGTCCTCCTCGCGCTCCCAAGAAGCTTCCTCAACTCCACTTCGGTTCCAATGAACTTTCACCAATGGAATCACCTTGTTCCTGAGTCTCTTGTCCTCTCTAGCAAGAATAGACACTGGAATCTTAATAGTAGACAGATCATCCCGAAGCTCAATCTCCGGTATATCCAACACCCGCTGCTGCTCCTCATCATGCAAGTGCTTCTTGAGCATAGAGATATGGAACACATTATGCACACTAGACATAGATGCTGGAAGATCTAGTCTGTAAGACACCGCTCCAATACGCTCCAAAATCTGGAAAGGTCCAATATATCTCGGTGCAAGCTTCCCTCGCCTCCCGAATCGCTGCACGCCTTTCATAGGCGATACCTTCAGCATAACCAAATCCCCAATCTGAAACTCTAGGGTCTTATCTGCATACCTCTTCTGCCGGCTCTGAGCGGCTAGAATCCGCTCTCTGATCAATGCTACCTTCTCAGTAGTCTGCCTCACAAGCTCTGGCCCAAGCATCAAACTATCCTCTGGCTCTGCCCAGCATATCGGTGATCTACAGGGCCTCCCATACAATGCCTCATACGGAGCCATGCCGATCGTCGCTTGATAACTGTTGTTATAAGCGAATTCCACCAATAGAATATGATCCTCCCAGCTGCCTTGGAAGTCAATGACACATGCCCTCAACATGTCCTCTAATACTTGATTCACCCCCTCCGTCTGACCATCCGTCTGCGGGTGAAATACACTGCTATAAGATAGCGTGCTGCCAAATGAGTCCTGGAAACTCCTCCAAAAATGTGAAGTGAACACCGATCCTCGATCCGACACGATCGTGTCCGGGACCCCGTGAAGTCGAACTATCTCCCGAATGAAGATCCTCGCATAAGTCTCGGCTGTATAAGTGGTCCTCACCGGAATAAAATGCGCTGACTTTGTCAACTGGTCCACTATCACCCAAACAGAATCGTTCCCCTTCTTCGACTTCGTCAACCCCACAATAAAATCCATGGAAATATCCGCCCACTTCCACTCCGGAATAGGCAAAGGCTGAAGGGTCCCTGCCGGTCTCTGATGCTCTGCCTTCACCTGCTGACAGGTAAAACATCTAGCCACATAGCCTACAATCTCTCTACGCATACCGCTCCACCAGAATTGTCTCTTCAAGTCCTTGTACATCTTGGTGGTTCCTGGATGCACCGTGTACCGAGTACGGTGTGTCTCATCAAATAACTCCCTCTTCAGCTCTGCACTGGCTGGCATGACCAATCTACCCTTCATCCGTAGACCTCCATCTGCTCCAATGGTCCAATCAGTCTTTGGCTCTTTGGAAATCTCCTCCTTTCGGATTTGAATCCAAAAGTCTACCAACTGAGCTCTGACAACTCTGTCACTCCAAGATGGCTGCACTGTCACAGCTCCCAAAAATACATCGATACCTCCAACCTCGGGTCTAAAATCAAACTGGCTAAGAGTGGTAAGATCTCTGTACAAAGAACACCTCAAAGCCGAAATCCGGGATCGACGCTTCCTGCTTAATGCATCTGCCACGACGTTCGCCTTCCCCGGATGATACTGGATCGCGAACTCGTAGTCCTTAATAAACTCAATCCATCTCCTCTGTCTCTGGTTGAGTTCC